TTCTAATATTAAATTACTTGGTGAAAAATGAAAGACATGGGTTCTAGGTCTTCATCAAGCCCACATATATGTCCTGCCAGGAGAGTAACTCAGTCTCTAGTATCTGCATTACACTGAGGAGGGAGAGGATTTTTCTCCCTTCTAGTTGAAGCTGAGGCACTTAGGTGTGCAAACGCAATTCAAAAAATAAACCCAGAGATTTCAAATAGAAATCCATAGTCTTAAAAATATTTTGACCTGCTGTGGTCTTTCTGAGTCCTTTGTAATAGAAGAATTGCTCTATTATTCTTCTGTAGTGAAAAAAAATCAAGTGAAAGCTAAGAGCTCAGAAGAGAGATTTTCTGAGGGGTGCCTTGAGTCTAACAAGGATGAAAACAGCTGGCTCCTTTTATCGATTTAGTCTTGAGTGCCAAACCCAGGCTCTCAAATCCTTCCTCAGGACCCAAAACTGTTTTGAAAGTGTGGCTGCTTTTATTAAAAGCCCTAACTGTAGATACCCAAAGTTTGAAAGTGGTCCTCATGTCACAAACTGGACCATCAAAAATACGAGTTACATCATCTAGTTACACATTAAGATGGATGCATTACTTTTGTAAATATTGTAGCACATTTATACATGGAAGGCTAAGTTCTGATTCTATTTAAGTCAAGGGAAGATTTGCCCATATTTGTTACCTTACCAATGCTAAATCAATATTTGGCCTAGATTCAATAAGGTATTTAAAATGTGAGATCTGTAGGACTAATTATGTGCTTAAAAGGAGCTTACTAAATCACAATAGGAGTGATAAGAATTAGGTAGAGAAACTGAGCCATGGAGGTTTAATTGAAATGTTAAAAATGTCTTTTCTAGGTAATAGGTAAAAATAGCTCAAGATTTCACACAGATTCTTTTATTTCATAAAGCAACATTTTTGGTGTTTGGGGTAACACTTATGAAAACACAGTAGTTTTGTTTAAACTTTTCCTCTTATTAGCAACGTTCTTCTAATCTATCTTTAAATATGTACAAACTTTCTACAGGGTTTTTTTTTTTGTACTTGTGGATTCTGAGATACATATCAGCCCATTTTCAGTTTATACTTGTGCTCATCATCCACTTATAAATTTTCCTCATCTAAGGAAGTTGCACTTGAAGCTGTTGGGTGACCACCCATTTAATAATCTTCCCCAAAAAGGGTTGGCTGGCAATCAAGTGATAGTTGGCTGGGGAGACAGCATCAAGAGCTCATCTAAATTCTATCATGAACCAAGATATGTATAATGTAAGTAATGTATGGTCATGGTCAATAATAATGTGGGGAAACTACTGCAGACTGTTTAAAAAAAATCAGCTAAGTGTGAAATGACAAAAATTGACATGCATAAAAAGAAAAAAATAACCCATTACCACCAAAAACGTTATGTGCTGTGGTCAGTCAGAGCTGTTGGCAGTCAAGAAGGCTTTGACTTAATAAGTTGTGCCAAAGGTCAAGATCCTACATAATACTAAATTTGAGTTCATCCTGTCCCTGAGTATTTTAACATTGATTAGTCAATCCCAATGTATATAAACAAACTCTAGAATTGCAGTGATGGAGCCCAATGATTTGCACATGCCTGATTTGCAAGGGTCAGAGTGATATTGTTATACATTGTTGATAGTTCTTTAAATAATTTCACTCTGAAATTCTACGTGAACACTTCCATTTCTTACAGTGTCATTTTACATACTGCTCTGGGTTAGACTCAAGATAACAAAATTGCTCAAAAGTAATTTGATATATAGGTGCTGAACAGTCTGGCTACAGGCTCAACCAGTTACTGAAGCCTAACTACAGCATATATCACTGCTTCCTACTCACAGGGTGGCACTGTAGCTCTGACTACTGGCTGCCCAGCTGCTGTGAATAAGAGCAAGACATAACTCTTTTTATTTTATATTGCCAGGCAAACAAGCATTTATTCCAACATGATCTTCTACATCATGGTTTAAGCAATGAGACAGATAAAAGCAGGCAATTACAGTGTTTTTACTGGGGGAGAAGACTTACCTGTCCTGCCAGTTGCCATCTTAACAGTGACTAGTTCACCACTTATCGTGCTGACAGTAACATGGTAAAGACATCCTGGAGTTAGCTTGTTGAATTGAGTCTGTGTAACCTGGGGTGGTAAAGTTTTGGTTTCTTTAATGGAGCCAAGGTAAGACAGTGTAATATTATAAAAATCAAGGTTTCCTGGAGGCCTTTTCCATACAACTTTTAATGTATCCAAGCTGCCTTCATTAGTCACCATCAAATTTGACACTTCTGCTGGGGCTAAAAAAAACACAAGAAAGAAAACAAAACACTTAATTTAGAGAGCACACAAACCCCCTTACTTTTGTACTGTGCTATGCATTTTCAATTTTTAAATTCACATGTAAATTCATATTTAAGATCATTAATTTAAAAAGTGGTTCTATTAATAGCATTTACTATAACAACACAGGATGAACAAATCCATCTGACATCTCCAGTATTTTTAGTAACTATTTGGGCTCTGGTGTGTCTCAAAGAGGGGGAGTTCTAGATCTGAGGATCAGCTACTGAAAATGACCTCTTGTGTTTAGACAGGCAAACTTGGGGTACAGCTGGTACTAGTAGGAGGTTGCTTCTGGCTGATCTCATGGATTGCAATGTGGTATAAGAGAGAAAGCACGTATGTAGGACCCAGCTGTTTAGGACCTTATAGGTCAAGAATTTGGATTGAATCTAGAAAGCTATAGGGAGCCAGTGCAGAATCTGGAACATTGGAGTTGTGTGTTCTTGGTGACCAAACCCCTTCAGAAGTTGAGCCACTGCAAACTGCACCAGCTGCAGCTTCCACGTGGTCATTGAGGGCAGCCCCACGTGAAGCACACAGCAGTTGTCTATCCTGGAGTTTAAAAAAGCATGGATGATGGTGGCCAGATCCTAATCTGAAAGGAAGGGTTGCAGCCTTCTCACCAGATGGAGCTGAAGAAAGATGATCCCAGCCACCGCTACCACATGATGGTCCATGTTGCAGCAGAGCATTCAGTGGCACTCCCAAGCTGCAAACCTGAGTGACAAGGGGAGGCTGAATCTTATCAACACTAGGTGATCCAATGCGTGCCAGGTCAAGCAGTCTGCTCACCACCACCACCACCTCTGTCTTGTGTGGACTTGGCTACAGTTGGATCACCGACATCTAGGACCCAAATGATGCCAGGCACTGGGAAAGGACCAAGACAGTGGGGTCCAGGGCAGATAAGAGAGAAAGAGCTGGGTGTCGTCAGCAAACAGACGGCACCTCACTCCAAGCCTCTGCATGAGCTTACCCAGCAGTCTCACATAGGACTTCTGAGGGACTCCACAGGAAAGGTGGACAATGAGCACTCGCCCATCTCTACCCTGTGGGACCTCCGTGCTAGGAAAAAGAAGAACCAATTTACAGCAGTCCCACAAATACCCACCAGGACCCCTAAATGCTTTATCAGTACCTCATGGTCAATGGTATTAAAGGCTGCTGAGAGATCAAGTAAGATCAGCAGGATACAATTTCTCCTGTTGATCTCCAAGAAAGGATCATTTGACCAAGGCCATGAAGGCAATCTGGCTTTGCACCCAGGGCTAGGCTGACCATATGGAAATCCCAGAAATTTGGGACATCATCCAGGAAATCTGGTACACTGCCCCACTACTGCCTAGCTGCTCTTGCAAGTCAGTGGGGATGGGGTTGTGTGCTAGGCAAGCTGTGGTGCCTGCCTGCTCACCTGCAAGGTGCTCCATGCTGCTCTGAGTCCCAGCCAGACTGCGACCTATGCCCCTGTGATGCCCATTATAATTCCCAACAGCTGGCTGGGACCAGCCTCTGAAATCCAGGACTGTCCCAGTTAAAATGGGACATGTGGTAACGCTGCCCAGGGCAAAAGCCAGACTGACAAGTGTTTATGAAACAGGGTGCATCCAGATACATTTGGAGTGGTCAGGCAACCACCCATTCAATAATCTTCCCCAAAAAGGGTTGGTTGGAAATGGGGTAATATCTGGATGAGGAGACAGCATCAAGAGATAACTTCTTGAGTAGGGGTTGGACAACTGCAGATGTAAGAATATCTGACACACTGCCCTCCAAAAAGGAGGCACTGACAGCCCACACCAGCAATGATCATCTCTCTCTTGGTTGGCTTTTACAAGGCAAGATGGCCATGTATACAGTTCACAGCTGGCTGCCACAAGCACTTTCATGCTGCCAAGCACAGAGGGTGGGGTGACAACAGCACTAGAAACTGACCCACGTAAACCAGAAAAGACAGGGATTTACCCATCTGAGACTCAAACTTTACAGCACAAACGGTGATCCCCAAACTGTGCTGGATGTGGTAAGTCTTGATTGTAAAGGCCAATCATGGCACACACTGCTTAAGACTCATGATATAGCAGTGCAAGTGTTAGATTAAACACCACAGCTTCATGGCACTTATTCCTAATTTACACTGGCTTATGTGGGATCAAAATTAAGCACCTTGTAGTTGATACTGCACCAAAATACTGTGTTTTCAGTAGATGTGCACCTATACATTGGCCTGATATTGGATCAGTATCGATAAAAAGAAAATTGGTTGCATCGGAAATTGGCCCAATGGGGTTGATGATTTGGTCGATAAATGCTTGTGTGTGCATGCAGCCGCAGTGCAATACTCAGGCAACGAGGAACAGAGCCTGGCAGCGCGGAGAGCTACCGCCAGCTGGTAAGTCCATTCTGGTAGAAGGGAAGTGGGGAGGAAAGGGGCATGGGGGGGCATATTAACCCCCTCCCCCCCGCCCCATGGAAAAGGAAAAGGAAAAGGAAAAGGAAAAGGAAAAGGAAGGCACTGCCCAGCTGGGCCAGTGCATCAGGACACTTGTCGGGGGGAAAAGGCATCCCCACTGCTGTGCAGACCCAAAGAGGGTACGGGGTGGGGGGAGCAGGGACACATGTCCCCGGATATGCATGAGGTGGGGCAGGCAGGCTGTACCAGGCTCTTCTCAGCAGGGGCTGAACTTGGGGCGGGGGCTATGGAGGGGGCTGCAGCCACCCAAAATTTCACCATAGGTCCCTCCCAGCGCTCCCACTGCTGCCTGCCCACCCAGCACAGCAGGGTTGATCTGGAAAGAGATGCAGCAGGTGGGAGGGAGCTACAGTGAAATTTGGGGTGGCTGCAGCCCCCTCTGTAGCCCTCGCCCCAAGCCCAGCACCCCGCTGAGAAGAGGCCGGTGCAGCCCCAGCTCCAGCCCACAGCTGCAGCCCACCTGTCCCACCCTGTACAGATCTGGGGGCATATGCCCCCCCCCCA